ATAAAGGTAAATAATCCAATTGAAAAATGGGCACAGGATATGAACAGACACTTCACCGAAGAAGACATTCAGATGGCCAAAAAGCACATGAAGAAATGTTCAAAGTCCCTAGCTCTAAGAGAGATGCAAATCAAAACAACTATGAGATATCATCTCACCCCAGTAAGAATAGCAAAATAGAACAGCAAGCCACAAATGCTGGTGAGGATGTGGAGAAACTGGAACTCTTATTCACTATTGGTGGGAATGTAAGATGGTGCAACCATTGTGGAAGGCGGTGTGACACTTTCTTAAAAAATTACAAACAGAGATACCATTTGAGCCAGCAATCCCATTACTGGGAATATACCCTAGCGAGACCATATCTGCCATCCAAGCAGATATATGCACACCCATGTTTTTCGCAGCTTTGTTTACAATAGCAAAGATTTGGAAGCAACCTAAGAGCCCATCAACAAACGAATTGATAGAGAAGCTGTGGTATATCCACACAATGGAATACTACGCGGCATTGAAAAACAAGGAACTCGTGCAATATCATTCAAAGTGGGTGACCCTGGAGGACATTATGCTGAGTGAAATATCTCAGTCACAAAGGGACAAATACTGCATGATTCCACTGTTGTAGAATGGGTCTGACATCAGGGTTGGGGTATGACAGGAAAAAAACTGGATAAATTATGTATATTGTATTGAAACAGATGAGGGAAAGAACAGATTAGAAGTGATGTATGATTGAGTATTATGGTTAGCACAGGAATCCAGAATTAAGGTTGCATAGACAAGTGTACTTGGGGTGGGGGGTGGGGGCGAATGTATGTGGGAATTGTATACTAATGAAGGAATATTTTTTTTTCTCTTCGGAGGTTTGAGTGAGCTGGTGGGGGGGTGGGCAGGGAGAAAAGTGCGGCAATGAATGAATGGAAATCCTAAACCTCTGTAAATGTGTATTAAAATGAATAATAATTAAAAGAGTAAAAAGAACAACGTTTTAGCCTATGATTCTTAACCCCATGGAAAGTCTTGGGAGCTTAAAATTTTATGGAGCAAAGAGTGGATATTAATGTAGTTAGATTGTTGTTGTTATGATGTGCTGTCAAGTCATCTGTGACTCATAATGACCCTATGTACAATAGCCCTGAAGCCTGCCCTGTCCTGAGCCAGTCTCACTGACTCTGACACACCTACCCCTCCCATTGCCCTAGTTACTGTATCAGTCTATCTGATCTAGAGTCTTCCTTTCCCACGCTGCCCATCCACCCTTCTGAGCATGATGTCCTTCTCCAAGGATCAGTCCTTGGCTGCATGCCCAAATGTGTGACTTGGAGTTTCAGAATTCTCACCTTCAAGGAGAAACTTGGTTTCACCCTCTCCAAGACGGAGCCTATTGGTTTTCTTGCAGACCATGGTATATTCAGGACTTCTCCAGCACCACAACTCAAAGGCATCAATTCTTCTTCTATAATCCTTAATCATTATCTAGCTCTCTAATGCATAGCAAGTAATAGTGAAGACCATGGACTGGACTAGGCATACCTTAGTCTCTAGGTTAACTGTTGCTAAAACTTACAGGGAAATCTACAAACAATAGATTTAAACCTTTCCCCATCAAAATCATTGTCATAGTCACTGTGGGAATGTCTCATTGGGGGTGTTCCTTCCTTTTGCTAACTCTATACTTTGCCAAGCATGATGCATTTTCCCAAGGACAGCATACCCCCTGACAGCGTACCCACCGTATGTCAGATGAAATTTCACCTATTTTGACTACAGGAACCACTCTGTTTGCATTTCCTCTAAGATGGACTAGTTTCATTTTTTTTGGCAGTCCAGAACTCTTTGCCAGCACAATTCAATTACATCTTCTTGAGTCAATATTTTAGTCAGCGTTTTAGTCATTGTCCAACTTATGCTCATGAAGGAACTGAAAAATATCATGGCTTAGATCAGGACTAACTTAGTCTTTAAACCAACATCCTTGCTAATGACTATTATTAATTATTTATCATTTCCCATGCATCACCATGCTAAACTTTACTTATATTATCTCACTAAATCCTTACAACTATGTAATTTAGGTGTTTTTTCCATTTTACAAATGAGGAAACTGAGTTTTAAAGATTTGAAGTAAATTTCTTCAAGTGGCAGATCTTCCTAATTTCAATGTATGTGTTCTTACATACATTACAGGATTACAGTGCATTTATATGGTCTTAAAGGTGTCAGGGGAAACTGGTAAAAAAAAAAAGTCAGAATTCATGTAGATGGCATTTTCTTGGTTTTTGCACTGAATCAAGCCTAATTCTAACAACCACAGCTTTCCCCCATACCCAGACTCATATCAGGAAATAGAAGAGCAGATCAGAAGGAAACATAACTGGTATTTTTGTGTACACTCGGAACCTAGAAGTGCTGTAAATGATCTCTAGTCCTTACTGAAGGCCAGATATGTATGGGTCACCAAGATCCGTTTTTAGGAGTCTTCAGTAAAGAAAGGCCTCCAGTTGTCATTGAAAAGGGACCCAGCTTTAGACTTCTCTCTTCTAGGAAATGGGTAAGGGGAGTGAGTGTCTGTCTTATCGTTGAAGTTTTTTTGTAATGTTTTTGTACATGTCAGAATTAAGATGCAATGTTTTCTCTAAAAAATACCCTCACAAACAACAGACAACTCACTCATAGCAACTCTTCATTGGTCTTCCAAGATTGTAACTCTTCGTTGGAGTCATTGCTAGAGTTGAAGGGCTGATCTTTCTGTTAGCAGTCAAACATGCAAAGTGCCTTACCTGTAAGGCATTTTATGGGAGATAAGAGAAAAAGTGAAGAGGGAAGGAAAGTTTAGTCCTAAAAAGAAATAAAAAGTTTGGATCAGAGCTTATACTTTGAATTCAAGATCAAGAGCTAGGATAATCCTAGAACCAGGAAACAGAGAAACACTTCCTGTAGAGTCAGCACCATGAATTCAGACTTCTAGCCTCTTAAACTGTGAGAAAATAAGTTTGTTAAAGCCATAAAAAAAGAAGTCCATTGATATCTAAAATTTATAACTCTGGACATATGCTATCTCTGTATTTAGAAATTGTGTCCTGGAAAGGAATATTGTAATAATTTTTTTAACCTTTTTTTTTCTCACCAAGGAAAAAAATAAAACACCAACAAACAAAAATGCCATTTTAGCCATTTTTTAATGTATGGTTACTACCACTGATTACTGTTTTATGCTGAATTCTTTAACAAATAAAACCGATGATACTTTTGTATCTATAGCTTGTTAACTAGGGACTGTAAGGAACTGAAACCCAGAGGAGGGTAACTGTGAGTCAAAATCAGCTTGACGGCAGTGGGCTTATACATTCTAAAAGACAACATTTAATGTGTGTTTTTCATTATTAATAACTCATACTAACATCATGTTCATTCTGACTAAATTGGATGAATAAATGAGCATATGCAAACCCCCCCCCTTTATTCCTTTTAGCAACCTTAGGGATTAAGCACTATAATTTTTCCCATTTTGGAGATGAGGAAATCTGTGTTAAATAATTTACCTGAGATAACAAGGCCAATAATGAAATTTAGGAGAAATAGGGCTCTTTAAGAGAAAAAGTCACAAGGGAGGAAATCAAAGGTAAGTGTTTCAACAAAGCAAAACTGAACAAAATCCTTTTAAGTTTGAGGGTCACTTGAAATTTAATCTTAGTTTTTCTCACTGCACTGAAGATTGAGTTTTCTTCAAGTTGATGATCTTGAGTCATCAAAGAAAAAATATATTGAATACATTATAACCTTAATTTATTTTGGGAAGATTTCAAAAAGGGTTGAAACAAAAAAAGGATCTGCATTAGCCTTAAATAACAAGGGAATGAAATTGATCCTAACTTTTATGCTTCTTTGTATTTTGCGTAATTGAGGCCTTATTTTATTGACCATAATACAGTGATGAAAAAAGTTAACAAAAGATAACTTGTGTGGTTTTCTTTATCAAAGCCATCAGCAAAAGTGGACCAAGAAACCTTGACTGAAATGGTGAAACCTAGTATTGATTATGTGCGTCACAAGAAATTCCGATCTGGGAATTACCCGTCATCATTAAGTAATGAGACAGACAGATTGGTCCACTGGTGCCATGGTGCCTCTGGTGTCATCCACATGCTTATGCAAGCATACAAGGTCAGTACTCACTTTGATTCACAAACATCTGGTGTGCAGAGGTCCGACGACTTTCAGCACTCTTAGTTTTTGGTTTGATTTGGGAAACATATTTGAACCTACAAACCTTTTAGAATTATGTTTTTACAAAATACGTAGAAAGTGTCCTATTTCACTGTTCATAATTTCTGTATGTAAGTATGTGTGTGTATTCATGGTATGCACACATGTGTGTTTTAACTCAGAGGACTCAGATGATTTTCATTCTAATGAGTTGTTGTTAAATGCCATCAAGTTGAGAATTACTCATGGCAACCCTAAGAACAACAGACCTGAACCTTGTCCTCTCCTGTCTCGTCCTTACCATCTCTGATATACTTGAGCCCATTGTTACAGTCACTGTTATCAATCCATCCGATTGAGGGTCTCCCTCTTTTTTTCTTACCTTTTCCAAGCATGATGTCCTTTTCACAAGTATTGGCACTTCCTAAAAACATTGCCAAAGTATGTGAGCCATTGAGCAGTTTGGTTATACTTTGTCAAAACATACTTGTTCTCTTGACAATCCATGGAATATTCAGTACTCTTTCAAAGCAAAAATCAAAAAAAGACATTGATTTATCTTCTCTTATCTATATTCATTGTCCACTTTTCACATGCAAAGCAAGTAATTAGAAAGATCATGGCTTAAATCAGGTCTTTAAACTAACATCATTGCTCCTTAGAACTTTGGAGAGATCCTTGACCAGTATGACACATATTCTTCTCTCTTCACTTCTGGTACCAAGGGTATTGATTATGGATGTAGGCAAAACTAAATTGTTGACAACATCAGTCTTTTTTTCCATTTTTGTGATAATGCCTGTTGGCCTAGTAGTGACGATTTTTGTTTTCTTGATGTTGAGATGTAATTTATCTTGAAGGCTGTAATTCTTTTTTTCTTTAACATTTTTCACACAATTTTATTTATTCTCAATTTTCACCATAAGTAGCTTTTCCTCATGTCATAGATTAGAAAATTGGAGAGCAATAATTAAAAAAAAAAAGTGGTAAGATAAAAGTCTTAAATCTGCTCTCACATAGTCAGAACCAACTCAAAGCTGACTCCCCAGGAAGTTTTCAAAGACTGTAGGTCACACAGAAGAAGACTGACTAATCTTCAGAGAAGCTGGCAGACTCTAACCACTTGCCGATGAGTTGACAATCAAATTCCTTATCAGGCTACCAGAGCTCAGTGCTAAAACACACACACTAATAAATGGGATATATAGACTTTAATTCTCCCTGAAGGCTCATCATGCCTTTTCATTGAAGTGACCTATTCCATTGGAGAGCTTGTATTTTGCACATTTGCTTACTGTTGGGTCCAGACAGGGGGCCAAGGAGAAGAATGAAGAATTCAAAGAATCTTGATCTTCTGCAGCAAGTATTTCAGGTTTTCTTCACTGTCATCAAGCATAACGCAATTTTTTGATGACTCTCTCTGATCCTGATACCACATTCTTCATAAAGTTGAGCTTCTCAAATAATTTTTTTTTTTTTTTTTTTTTTTGCCTAAGCTGGCTGCCAGAACAGGGTTGTCCTAGGAGACGGCCCCACCATGCACTGCGGGTAAACAAGCCCCAGGCCGCAGGGCTTCTCAAATAATTTAACGTACACATTGAATAAGTATAGAGAAAGGATACGGCCCTAATTCACACGTTTCTTAATTTTAAGCTATGCAGTGTTCCCTTGCTCTGTCCACACACCTAGCCTGTTGGTCTAAGTATAGGTTTTGTATGAGTACAAGTAAATTTTTCTGAGATTCCCTTTCTTCCCAATGTTAGTCATAATTTGTTATGATCCACTGTGCTGGTTAGTCATAATTTGTTATGATCCACTATGCCTTTGCAGAATCATAAAACACACATAGACGTCCTTCTTGTATTCTCTGCCTTCAGCCCAACATCCATCTGACAGCAGCAGTGCCCTGGTGCCATAGCCTCTTCTAAATACTGCTTGAACTTCTCGAAGTTCTCTGTCAATATATACTGTTCTAGCTATTTTTGGATAATCTTGAGCAAGATTTTATTGGAAATAATATTGTTCAATAATTTCCACATTCTTTTGGGTCATCTTTCCTGGGAAGGGAAACATTCAGTTGGTAGCTGTCTTTCCAATTTATTGCCACAGACTGGTGAGCATGTCCAGGGATGCTTGTGTTTGTTGAAACATAGCAATTGGTATCACATTAATTCCTGGGACTTTATTTTTTGCCAATGTCTTCAGTGCAGCTTAAAGATTTTCCTTCATTAACCACTGATTCTTGTTAATATACTACTTCCTGAAATGGTTCTGTCATACATTTTATTTTGGTACAGTGATTCTGTGTATCTTCTTTTAATGCCTCCTGGATCATTCTAACTTTTGCCTATTTCATCATTCAGTATTGCAACATGATGCCTGAATTCACTTTTCATTTCTTTCACCTTGAAAAATGCTAAGCAAGTGCATCTGTTTTTATTTTCTAAGTCTAGCTCTCTGTACATATCATTATAATACTTTTCTTTTTCTTCTTGTGCTTCTCTTTGAAATCTTCTCTTAGCTCACTTGTTGTTCTTGTTATGTGTCGTCGAGTCACTTGTGACTCATAGCGACCCTATGTACAGCAGTCCTAAACCCTGCTCTATCCTGTGCCAGTCGTACTGCCTCCGACACACCCATCCCAGTTACCCCAGTCACTGAATCAATCCACCTCATAGAGGATCTTCCCCTCTTGCACTGTCCCTCCACCCTCCCAAGCATGATGTCCCTCTCCACGGACCTGTCCCTCCTTACAACATGTCCAAGGTATGTTAGACGGAGCCTCAGAATCCTTGCTTCCAAGAAGCAGCCTGGTTTAACCCTCTCCAGGGTGAATCCGTTTGTTTGTTTTCTTGGCAGTCCATGGTACCCTCAATACTCTTCTCCAGCACCACAGCTCAAAGACATCAATTCTCCTTCTATCCTGCCTAGTCATTGTCCAACTCTCTGATGCAT